ACAGCAAATAGCTATATGGGTGAGTCATCGAGGGAGATCAAGGGAGACGCCCCAGTCAAGCATTTAGATGAGTGCATCCCCAGCCAATACTTCAACTGCAACCTCATGAGAGATGCTGAGCCAGAACCAACCAGCTAAGCTGCTGTCAGATCCCTCACCTTGATGAGGGATCAAGACTGTGAGCCATTTTAGACTAATGGAGTGAACCTCAGTAAGGTTCACAGGAGACCCACAATGTGTTTAACAGAATGATGTTGGCAGAGACACTACCAGCTTGGTGTGAAAATGACAGAGACAGTACAAAAAGTAAAGAGATCTTGGGACCCCAAGATTCCACTAGCAGGAAGTAGGCTGAGAAAACTATACAACTGAAACATGGGCTGCCTTTCATGGAAAAGGAAGGATGATTCAGAAGGTAGAAGCAAAAGCCTAGCATGTGGAGCCAGGAGCCATGGAGGATATACCAATGGCCAATAAACACATGAGATGCTTGACATTTTAGGGAAATTCAAATCAAAACCACAATGAAATACCATTTCATATCTACTTAGATGGCTAATATAAAAAAGATGGACAATAATAAGTATTGATGAATATGTAGAAAAACTGGAATCCTCATATGTACCAATGGAAGTATAAAATGGCGTGTTTTCTTTGAAAAACAATTTTGAAGTCCCTCAAGAAGTTAAACTTAGAGTTACTATGTGACCCAGCAATTCCACTCCAGATTATATATCCTAGAGAATTAAAAACATATTTTCATGCATATGAAAACTTGTATATGAATGTTTATAGCAGCATTATTCATAATAGCCAAAAGGTGGAAACAACCCAAATGTTCATCAGCTTACAAATGGATAAGCAAAATATGGCATATCCATATTTATTATCGGAATATTATTCAGTCATAAAAAGGAATGAAGTACTGATACATACTACAACTTGAATGAACCTTAAAAACATATGCTAAGTGAAAAAAGTCACACTCAAAAGGCCACACGTTTTATGATTCCATTTATATGAAATGCCCAGAATAGGAAAATCCATAGAGCAGAAAGTAGATTAGTAGCTGCCAGGGGCTGAAGGGAGGGAGGAATCGGGAGTTACTGCCAACAGGTACAGGATTTCTTTTGGGGATGATAAAAATGTTCTGGAATTGGACAGTGGTAATGGTTCACTAAATATGAATATACTGAATATACTAAAACCACCAAGATGGGCTGGGCGCAGTGGCTCACGCCTGTAATCCTAGCACTCTGGGAAGCCGAGGCGGGTGGATCGCTCAAGGTCAGAAGTTCGAGACCAGCCTGAGCAAGAGCGAGACCCTGTCTGTTAGGGCCTAGAGACCATAAGCAGCAAATAACCAGCCATTAACTTCTGTATTATGCTTGCTTGCTTGCTTAAGAGAGTGGAAAGTTTTCAGCTGACCCTTACTGACCCCAAACCTACTATCTCGCCTTCGTTAGGGCACCTAAGAATGTAAAGAAGAAAACGGTGCCTTTCACACAGGTTTCCACAAGATAAAATAGTAGCCTGGGCCAGAGGGTCAAAGCACCCCGGAGCTCTGAACGGCCCAGCAGCGCCTCCTGTGTGGAAGGTGATATGGCTTGGATAAGGAGATGTCAAATGTATTTTAGCTAAGATTAATGTTATTATACTTGCTTCAAAGTAAAGTTGCAGCTGTGACTTGTAACTCCTACGGAACTCATCTAAGAAAAGGAGAGAATTCCCAAAACCTCCCAGACCATGTCGGCCCAAGATAAGATTGTACCATGGTTAGGACCAACGCTTTTTTGCTTCTATAACTGTGCTTATGCAAGCAATTAAATGATTTATCAATATATGGTTTTTGTCTTTAAAAGAGCTGGCCTCTCCTGGCTCGGGACTGCTCTCTGTGCAGCCGTCTGTGGCGGTGCAGAGGATAGTCGCTGACCAGCTAATAAAGACTCATAATTTGGCTCAGTTTCGGTCTTAAGTGGTCTTTTCTCGCACTTCGAACCATAACACCGTCTCTACTAAAAAATAGAAAGAAATGATCTGGACAACTAAAAATATACATATAGAGAAAAAAATTAGCCGGCATGGTGGCACGTGCCTGTAGTCCCAGCTACTCGGGAGGCTGAGGCAGGAGGATCGCTTGAGCCCAGGAGTTTGAGGTTGCTGTGAGCTAGGCTCACAGCCATGGCACTCACTCTAGCCCGGGCAAAAGAGTGAGACTCTGTCTCAAAAAAAAAAAAAAAAAAAAGGATGTAATACTTTCATAATGGAAGAAAATAATAGCTGTGTGACTCTTATTCTCACTTTCATGTTAAGGGGAGTGAAGAAATGGAGAAGGGAGACCAAAGCTCTGGTTTTCCCTAAGAGCTGAGGAAGGAGGCCCCATTCTGGAGGGGTGAGGCGACAGGGTAACTTGAGTCTAGCAAGAATAAGGAAAGAAGCAGCTGCAAGAATGCAGGGAAGGAAGGAACAAGGAAGCCAGACATGGAGAAAGGAAAAGTTATTGGAAGCAGAGCTGGCCCAGGAAAGCAGAAGAAAAGGAAAGTGTCTGGGAACAGGGCCTGGAGAGAACCTTCCAGGAACTCCTCTCAAAGCTCCGGGTATGCTAGCCTAGAGCAAGGACACCCTCACCTCTATGGGGCTCTTCTCCCAGGTTAGTTCTGTAATTGATTCAGGAGCGTTCTCACGTGCTTAGAGTCCACACCTCTCACAACATTTTTATAAGCACAGACTTGGCTCTGGATCTTATCAAAAGCAGTGACATTTTTCCATTGGGTCAATAGAATCGATTTGGCCAGGCTACAGGAGGAAAATGATCCTTAGAGGTCTCAGTGCCAGTGGAGCCATCTTGCAGGCCAAAAAGTGAAGGTGACCAAAGGGAGAGGAAAACAACACCCGAGGTGCAGATGGAGAGGCCAAGGCAGGCTGGAGGCCTGGGGTGGGATGGGGGTGGAGGGGCTCACCGTTCTCATTCTCTAAGTTGGAACAGCTCTTGGAACTGCAGAAGTGCAGGAGCCCCGTGGACATAATAAGAGCCGATGTATAGATTCTATTGCTGAGATTCATGGGCCAGCGCTGGTAGTAGCGGCTCCCAGGGAGGTGCAGCCATTTTTTAGAGAAGATCGTGACCAGCAGAAGGACGAAGGCAACCAGGCTGAGCACCTGTGCTATCCAGAGGGAGCTGTGTGTAATTCTCCATTGAAAGAGCAGCAAAGAGGCACAGCGGTGTTCTGTGGGCAGCCACCTGTTACTGCTGGGGTAAAGGGGGGAGCCCTGCACCCCCTCTTCTTGTTCCAGCTCACTGCCATCGCGTTCTGCCTTCCAGTCCTCCCATTCCTTTCTAGGACTCTGATGTTGGGCCCTTTCTCCTCCTGACTCAGGGAGCTCACCCCTAGAGTCCCCTGTACCCATCTTGAACATCCCATCCCCCTTGCACCCCATCTCCCCTTTCCCTTGCCAGGCTCCATTGTCCCTCATCTTTTAAATATTTTCATCAGGTGGAGCAGTTGCCACCATAGTGCCTGGGGGCTGGGAAAGAATGAAGGGAGGCTCTTTTATTAGGCACATGAGCTCCTGGCCCAAGAGAAGGCCCCAAACTAGCCAGCAGAACAGGGCCCCTAACTGCCATGGAATATTCCTGGGGAGCAGTGAGATGGGGGAGGGGGACCATGGCTTCCGCTCTCTTTCTCGAAACCCTGCTCCTCAGGCCCCAGCTCAGAACTGTGGATCTAAGGCCTCCCTCCAGCTTCTGCCTCCCACCGCCCAATAGGAATGGTCTCTGAGAGTCCCTGCTATGGTTTGGATATGGTTTGTCCCCACCAAATCTCATGCTGAAGTTTGATCCCCAGTGTGGAGGTGTTGGGCGGTGAGGCCTAGTGGGAGGTGTTTGGGTCTTGGGGGTGGATCCCTCCTGAGCAGATTAATGCCCTCCCCCAGGGATGGGCTCTCTGTTAGCTCCCACAGTGCTGCTTGTTAAAAAGAGCCTGGCACCTCCCCCGCACTTCCTCTCCTCTCTCCTCAGGCTCTCTGCACAGGCCACCTCCCCTTCGCCTTCAGCCAGGAGTGGAAGCAGCCTGAGGTCCTCACCAAATGCCCAGTCTTGAACTTTCCAGCCACCAGCATCATGAGCCAAATAACTCTTTTTTCTTTACACATCACTCGGCCTCAGGTATTCTGTTATAGCAACACAAAACACACTAAGACAGTCCCCTTTTCTCTTCCTACTTCCTCTGCCCTGACCCCAACCCCAAATGCTCACTGATGGGGGGTGGAGACCAGGAACTTGTCCTCAGGAAAACATCCTCTCTTCCAAAGATGTCATCAGTCTTCCTGCAACTCTCCCCAAGGCCCTCGGTCCTTCCCATCTCTACAGGCTTCCAGTCACCAATTCTTTCCCTCCTCTTTTTCCTTTCTTTTTCCTTTCATTTCCTCTCTGCACCAGAAGGGGGAGGACATAGGATAAGAATGGGGTCTGGGGGTGTCACACAGCCTGAGATTCTTTTAACCTCCCTTTTAAGTTATAAGAAAATAAATCTGAGTCACCTGCTCATAGTGACTTCCAGATCTCAGTTAGCGCCTGCAATTCTCATGGGGAGAAAGCCTTTCAAATTGGGATGTGAGTTTGACTCTCCCCAGAGCTGATTTCCTTTGTGGAGACAGTGATACATGTGATTAAGAATACAGGCTTTAGGCCGGGACGTGTGGCTCACGCCTGTAATCCTAGCACTCCGGGAGGCCGAGGTGGGTGGATTGTTTGAACTCAGGAGTTCGAGACCAGCCTGAGCAAGAGCAAGACCCCGTCTCTACTAAAAAAATAGAAAGAAATTATCTGGACAACTAAAAATATACAGAAAAAATTAGCCGGGCATGGTGGCGCATGCCTGTAGTCCCAGCTACTCGGGAGGCTGAGACAGAAGGATTGCTTGAGCCCAGGAGTGTGAGGTTGCTGTGAGCTAGGCTGACGCCACGGCACTCACTCTAGCCAGGGCAACAGAGTGTCTGTCTCAAAAAAAAAAAAAAAAGAGTCCTACTTGGGAACAGCGAGTTCCAACTACAGAAATAGAAAAGGCCAAATGTTCATTTTCCCAACCTCCAATGCAAAGTACATGACCTAGGAACAATCAGACACAATGTCCCTGGACTTAAACTTGGAAGCCAGAGACCCCAAGCAGGGACAGTGGAGAATCTATTTTACAGTAGTGACAGCACCAGGGCCAGGAGAGCAGTGTCAGCAGTACAAACAGCAGCATGGGCTGTGGGCATTCCTGGCAGTGTGAGCTGTGTCGTCATGCCAACCAGGACACCCAGTGTCAGGCTGCAGCCACAGTGCATGCTTGACACACCAGTTCTGCAGGGTGCTTTTGGTGGTAGCTTGGGCTACATTTCCTCCTTCACTCCTGCCTATTTCATAGGTTTGATTCACCAGCTTTCCTGGAAATTCAGTGACTACCCAATTTCCTCTCCATAAATGCCATTTTCCGCATAAATCACCAAAGTTGCATTCTTTTGCTTATAACTGTAATCCTGACTGATTCATCCTTCCTTTTGGGAAATGCTCCTTCCTCGTTTCAATAATATGTGTTAGAAAGAGGAACTTATTCTCCATTCATATTTCCATGGTAGAAGAAAACCCCTAACCTCCTCACTACTTCTTACTCACTCCTTCCCCAAAGGCGGTGGAGTGGCTTTTCTGATTGGCAAAGGTGGCAGTCAGGATAGACTGGGTTGTACTGTAATAACAAACAACTTCAAAATCTCAATAGCTTGAAATAGCAAAGATTTCTTTATTGCTCAAGCTCCGTGCCATTGTTTGTTGTCTTGGGGCTCTTCTCCACATAGTCCTCATTCCACAACATAGGACCCTGGAGCAGGTACCACCTGGATATTACCAGCTGCCATGTCAAAGGGAAAAAGAGAGTGTGTAGCAAATCAAGCACTGGCTCTTAAAGCTCCCACCTGGAACTGCCACGCATCAAGTCTAATCACATGTAACTGGTCATAGCAAGTCACATGCCTGCACCTCACTCCAAGAGGGTTCCCAGAAGAAGAAATAGAACTATTTCATTAATGGCACCAGTAATCAACACAGTGGGTTTGGGAGAAGGGACATGTTGTGGCTAAGTCTCATCTGGGTTCTGTTTTGGCCGTCTGCTCACCTGTGCAGGTCGTGTGTTCTTTTTTTTTTTTTTTTGAGACAGAGTCTCACTGTGTTGCCTGGGCTAAAGTGCC